CCACCTACTGCGAAAACGACGACGCCCAGTGTCTATTATGTCGGGCCACTGCATTTGCCGAAATTATCTATCATCATTCCGATACTTCGCGGTCGAGATACTGTTTCGGACAAAATGGTTGCGTCTGTGTGGCAATTTGCGAGGCACTGCAAGTGAACCACCAAAGGCCGGACAAAAAGTGTATGGTGAACGCTATGAGCACAAATGACAGGGATACTTCAGTGAACCAGTTCGGATCCATTGCCGCCATTTTAGGTGCCATGTGCTTCATCGTGGCTTCCGTTTTTGTCATTTACCGTATCCGGAAACGAGGTGAAAGTTCGGCCTCCGATGGAGAAAATGACCAAACAAGTAGCAACAGATATCACAACCGACGGGGTAGCAATGACGACGATCCAGTGGTCACTCCAGCGGACGGAGCATCGCCAATTGCAACAGCTACGCCGGTGATGAGAGCAGGATCAGGGTCGGGTCTTGTGCTGAATTTGTTCGGCTGGACGGCTATGAGAGAAGTGGTGATCCAGAAGGAACAGAATCAAGCGGATGGGATTGAGGACGCAGCTTTGGAGCCCGTGAAGAACCACAATGTGCAGATGATTGGCGCTGAGCCCTCTGCTCCGAATGTGGAGTCGGCATTGCCTACTGCTCCACCAGTGATGATCCCGTACGCTACACTGGCAGTGGCAACAGCACCGGTGGCTATCACTGCTCGGGCAATGGCGGCGCCGTCAGCACCCGATTTTGAGGATATGGACTCAATTGACGGTGACGATGTCGACATGGCCCAGCTTTGACAGGAAACGTAGCAGTGATCAATATTTAATGCGGATGCAGTCGATGTGATAGAACTTGATGTAAGTTAGTGCTGTGACGTTGATAACGTGAAACTTGGCAACAAATCATCAATTGCTAATTGAGAACGTTTGAAATGGAGATATCTTCATGAACGTACGCGAGTTCTTCGCTTCTGATCAAAATTTGACCACCTTTACAGCCAATTCTTGCACGCACCATGAGCACGACCATCAGGTAAAATAGGCATAGTGGTAAGTCGTCTTCGGATGTAGGATAATTGATGCCATACATTTCAGTGAGGGGCAGAAAAATGTACAGCAAATAGCGCTAAGATTTAGCTCCCGTCGTTCTGCTGTGACGTTCGAGCGTTGTTGAAGTCATCCAGCAGACTGCGGCATCCATCCAGATTGCGTCCATACCCTTCTTCGTTCGAAGCCAGGTCTCCCTGGACATCAGTAAAGTACTGCAGAGTCTCACACACAATCAGCTTGAAAATAACTTCACGCAATGGCTTGCAATGCGTCTGCAACCGCTTATTTTGTTACGAACAAGCTGCAATCTGACGCATGTCAAAGTATCGAGGTTGCAACGACATCAGACGCTAGAGCATGCACAAAATATATTGTGAAATCGTGAAAGATCGTTGACAGAAACGTTCATGATTGTGTACACAAGAACGCTGTGCTGTGTTGGCGAACCTTTGAGTAAGATACGTGAAGCTGTTGCTTCATGCCGGCCACAGCATGTCTCCCGATACGTGGACACTGATGAGAACTCCCCCCATGACGTACATAAAGGCTGAGTTGCTCTAGAGACGATATCACGTGACCGATATCGAGGTCGTTGAGGCGAGTTTCAAGCTCGGATTGGCTCACCTCACGCTGTCAAAAGGTGAATTATCTTTCGGAACTCGTCGTACGAGATGCCACCGGTTTTACCTTCATCTACCACATCCACGAAAGCCTGGAACTGTCTGTCGCTATCAGTACCAATGCCCATTGCCTCCAGTCTACATCGAAACCTTCGTACGGGAGTTTTGCTTGTAGAATGCAAATTCTTCGTTGATAATATATCACACGATGGCAAAACATGTATCCGATCACGTCACAGGGTCCATACTTCGCAGTAGAACCTGTGGTACCGCATGGAAGGATGCACGAGATGATCTTGCCGTACAACGTGAGCGGATCCACCTTTGTGATCGCTGACGGAGTCGTCGGTGTCTCAGTCGACTGAAAACTATTGCCACCTCTATCACTTCCAGGCAGAGAGCGTTAAGACGAAGGATTTGAATTAACGGGGTAGATTCAAAATCACTCGAGTTAACGCTCTTTGATGGTAAATTGACAGCGATGCGTCTCGCGCTTCCGTCGACTCAAAGCAGTCGTCTGAATTCAAGTTGGTTGGCTGGTAGGGATTTCTGTTGTTGATGAATCACGCGTCCTGAGGATATCAATTGATGATTCCGAGTTGTCTTCCTGTGTAACGATGGTTATCGCGCTTTCATTTTTTATGTTTGCGCGTAGCAGCATGTTGAGCGTTTCGCTTGAGCTGGTACTTTGGCGAATGCACCGACCACACACACTTGAATTCTCTGGTTATGATTCCCATGATGCACTGTTCATTTTGCTCTTTCGTTGTTCGGAGAGTACGAAGCCCGCTTACCGCTTCTTGGCTACATTCGTACGATTGAGGCAGTCAGACGTGGCAGCGTTGGGTGAGACGCGTTTGATATCCTGCCATTCGCTTCTCTTTGTTCCGTGCACACACACACTTGTCTTCACTCGACAGTCTGTCTATCGCCAGCAGTCCAAAGGTGATTTCTGTGGAGGCACGGTGGTAAGTGAAGAATCGAGCCGTTGACGGGGCGTTGAATGCATCGAGCGGAAATTATGACAGTCCAAGTCATCAGTTGTCGAGTCTCTGCTTTTTGGTGGGACTGAAGACAGGTGCATGAATCGCTTGATACATTTTACAAGAAAATCACAGTTTACATGTACACCAACAAGATCGCTGCAATTCACAAAATAGAATATCGACCGATTGGTAGAAGTTTTTCTCAGTCGATGTCGATAAACAGCACGTCAGCTCGATGTTACCTTGGCGCTCGCTCGGCGTGTGCATGCAGCAGAAAGCTTCCTGTACTGGCAATGCCAAACTCTCCAGACTCTGGCATACATGTTCATGTTGTAGTCAGGTGATCTACCAGGTCCAGTGTAGCTCAGATGTGGTACTTTGTGACATGCTGCGCGTGACTTGCTTGAAGTGGCCGAGCAAAAGGGTCATCACTAGCACGACTGGTGACGCCAGTGCTGATGAGGCCACTTCGAAGCTAAGAACACAAAATGTTCATGGATGTGATGACCAAGCATTTCTCATTATGATTCATTGGATATCCCTACATGTATCACATCAATTGCAGGCTAAAGTGCACAGTGAAAACTGTGGCAATTGACAAAAAATGTCGGTCGGTTGGTTGATGACCCTGATAAACGCCCATCAACCTGAACAATGGAAACCTCAAGCATCTTTGCCACCTTGACATCGCCGTTTGTTAGCCACGCAAGAGCCTATCAACGTCATCTCCGCCCATTCTCTAACCCTCATCGATTTATACAGTTGATTTCATTACTAACAACAGGTTCTTTTCAAAAACGCTGCATCGTTCTTCATCTGATATTCAATTTCGCAACATATGGAAACTTTGGAAGGTCTCAACGTTTTTCATGTCACTCGTCAATCTGCCACAAAACACGAAACTTCATGGGGGCCTGGACGTCGTCTCCGTCGGACGATAGCGACGACACTAAGGCTCCCACGAGCCCGCCGCCGGTACCATCGTCTTCCTCATATTCCGCTGCGTCGTCCAGTGCCGTCGGTTCTGGCTCAGATGGGTCTCTAGCCGACACAATCCAGGTCGAAAACGGGTCTGCAAGTTGCGGTGACCAAGTGGAGATCGAAGTCGTAACCCCCGCCCCAACGGACTGGACGTCCCATGATCGCTGCCCTTACTACCCTCCACGAAGTGACGGCTGCACGGAGCCTCGTTCGTGTCGAGACTGCCTCAATATCGACGTGGGAGGCTCGTACAGCTGCATGGTGAACCAGTACGGCCGCTGTGTGCAAAAGGAGCCGTCAACCTTCTCCAAAGACCTGGTTTTCTGGAACCAGAACGCGTCGAATGATAAAGAGCAGTGCGACGACCAGAAAGTCCAGTTTCCGGCTGATGAAGTGGACTATTGCTCGTACAAGGACAAGAAGTGCAAAAAGTGTCGAGACACGGTTTTCTCCGACGTGATGAACGGGAGAATCGACGGCTCGTTGACAAAATTCTGCTATGGCAAAGGGGGATGCGTCTGCATTGCAGTGTGTGAAGCTCCGATCTGGAAAAGTACAATCGGCCAAACCGTGTGCAATGGCACAGTGGTTAATAAGGACTACGAGAGCCAACACGCCAATACTTACGGAGGCTCAACGGGCCAGGAGGAACATGGAGGACCCCCCATTGGCAATATGTTGATAGGGATTGTAGGCGGCGTGGCTGCTGCCGTGGTGCTCATTGCTGCAGTCATTTACGTCCGCAAACGTCGAACAAGCGACAACTCCACTGGATCAAGTGGATCAAATAACTTTGGGGGACAGACTGGAAATACACAGGAAGGTGAAGATTCAGCCACTGGAGCGGAGGGATCTGTGCCCATGGCTGTGCCAGTGGCTCCTCAACTGAGTCTCTTTGGCTGGCAGGCGATGAGATCGGAGCTGATCGAGAGAGAACAGTTGCTACTGGCTGGAGTTGAGGACTTTTCCAACGTCAGGACGGGATATCTGCAGCTTTTAGATGTGGATGCGTCTGCACCCCCGCAAGAAGAGGACGAGAGCTCAGCTCCAGTGCTTCTGGTCCCCTTGGCAGGGGCATCGGCGCCGTCATTCTCTCCGAGAGCGCTCCCTGTAGCTCCGTCTGCTCCGTTAGTGTCACCTTCGGCCCCTCCAGCCTCCCCCACTCTTCTCGAAGAAGAGTTATTGTAAAACGTAAGTGATGTGGAAACTATTTATTAATTGCCACTAACTTTTTTTAGAAACAAGGAGTTCTATTTTGCTGTTCGCTTTTTTTTTTTGAAGTGGATCAAATTCTTCACTTTTTGCGATTACGATGCATCTGATTCCATTTTAGAATTCGAATCAAAACTGCTGGACTGTACTAAACATAAATCTGGCTTCTGGTTCTTCAGATTTGAATTCCCGGGAGACTAATGCCAGAAATGGGCCACCAGCACATCGGCAAGAGCGTTCCTGCTTGCATCCGCTCCGGCTGTACAGTCCGCTCTTCCAAAGACCGTGAGACTGCTTGACTGTGTGCGCGCGTGCTGCTCCAGCAGAACGCAAAACAACGGACGGCAGACGCCCCGACGCGCTCTCTTCAGCGTAAAGGAGATAGGTGCGCTACAATGGGTCGGCTGCATTTCACGAGATACAATGAAGACGACAACGAGAGCATTCCCAGAGACATTGACTTGGCCAGCAGCACAGGTTTCAACCAGAGTCGCGGTCTTCCTGCTTTAAACCGCAGCGCATTCGAGCACAGTCTGAACCGCAGTGGCTTTGAGCGCAGTCTGAACCGCAGTGGCTTCGACCGCAGTCTTAACCGCAGCGGCTTTGAGCGCAGTCTTCGCGTTGATAATGTGCAGGTCTCGGCGATCCCGATCCTCGGACGGGTGGACAACCCGCTCATGAGCTCCGTTGTCATCATGAACGGAGCCGACTCAGCCGTCCACAGTCCGACGTGGAGGAAGCGAGAGGCCGATGGGGACGACGAGTCCTCGTTGCCATTTCCAGCTTTATCCAGGAAGTTTGAGGTCAATTTGGTGTCTCGATGGCACGTCGGATTGCTCGTGTCCACCGGGTTTGCCGGTATCCTCACGACGTGTCTGAAACGAGGCGTGTTGCCACTGCTCGAAGCCGAACTCAAGATGCAGCCGTACCAAGTGGACGCTGCGTCCGTGTTGGTCCTACTTCCGTGGTCCTACAGCTTCATTTGGGGCTTCATATCAGACGCAGTGCCTATTCTAGAATCTAGACGCAAAGCCTACATAATTCTCGCGTGGATGACGACCATGTTGGCATGTTTTGCGATGGCTCTGATGGACCAGTTTATCTCGTATCGCGCGGAGGAAAACGACATCACCACTGCAGACCTTTTGAGGCATTCCGATGGCCTCATGGACCTCTACATGGTATTCTTAATGATGGCCAACTTCGGCTGCATCGTGGCACTTGTCATCGGACAGACATACGTGATCGCACAGACTCGTAAAGAACGCATGACCGTGCGCGGCACAGCGCTCGGAACGCTCTTAATCACGCAGTTCATGGGCGAATTTGTCGGCCAGGTCATCGCAGACTACGCCATCTTTGACGTGACGGATCTCGGGGCGACTCCGAAGGTGACGCTGCGTCAAACGATGCTCTTTTTCGTCTTTTACACGGTCATTCCGTTGATCGCGCTCTGCACGTGCTTCTTCGAGAAGCCTGACCCGCCTCCGATCAACGCCGCGCGTGATCGCTACAACCGCGCAACCATCGAGAACTTGGAGACGTCGGCTTCAGAGCTGCAGCGCGCCTACATGACGGCTGCGAACTTCTACCAACGCGTTAAACTAGCGCTGCGCGGCCACTGGATCCGCCTGCGCAGCGCTCTAGGCAAAGAGTCGACGTCTCGAGTCATGCGCTTTCTGATTGGCTTTATATTCATGTCGGAATTCTCGCTGACATATCCGACCAATCGGATCGAAGAATGGTGTGGCATGAACGCTAAGGCGGCGTCCACCGGCCACATTATGATGCAGGTGTTCTCCGTGCTGTGCGGTATCCTCTGGAAGTATTTCTTCTTGAACTGTGACTGGCGCTGGTGCGTCTTCTCCAGCTTTATCATTATCACCATGACGCCGCAGTTCGTGTACTACACGATGGCTACACTCAATCCGGGTGCGCGGAATATCGATATCTACGCGGTGGTCTCGGCTCTGACGGGCTTTATCCGCAGCGCTATTGTGATTTTAGAGCTTGCAATCACCGCAGAAATCGCCCCTGTGGGCGGAGAAGGCGCTTTCGTCGGTATTGTCGTCTCCATGGCGTCGAGTATGCGGTTGATGGCGAATACGGTGTCTAACGCCATCGGATTCATGTTTAAGGACATTGACGACTCGGTCAGCTCACGAGCAGACCCGGACAGGATGCAGGTGGCGTTTGCGCTGGTTGTATCGCACATTATCCAGGTCCTCGGCCTCGTGGCGCTCGTCTTTTTGCCAAAGCAAAAGCGGCAACTGCAGCGACTGCATCGCTTTGGCAACAGGGACGACAAATGCACCACGTGGTGGATCATCGGCTGTCTCGCAGCTTCGTTTGTAGTTAGCACCATCTTCAACGCGTTGGCCATCGCACCGACGACGTCTTGTATGTCGATTGTGGGCGGCAGTGGCTGCTAAAGATTTTCTATAGACGTAAATATGATAATGACACGCAATTTTTGGGAACACGTTAGAGCTTCGATAGAGTTACGGTGCAATTTTAAGAAACCCGGTTCTGTTATTTTAGAGTTTTGCTTTTCTAACCTAAGTTGCAGCCTGCACCACCGACAATGCGCAGACATGCAGTGCTGGGGATGATTGCGAGCAAGTTGAAGATAGCGCTGATGAAGAAGGCGCATCCTAGTGAGCCCAAGACCCACCACGTCGTACTTTTATCACCCTGAGCGCCAAAGCGGTGAAGTCGCTGGAGTTCTTGCTTCTGTCTTGGTAAAAAGAGCAGCGCCACGATACTGATAAGTCTGATGGAATAGCAGATACCAAGACCGAAAATCACTTGGTCGCTTTGCTGATCTGTGCCGTATAGACTGGGATCTTGGAACGCGAAGCCCAAAACGTTGGAAAAAGTTGTAGACAAAAGTCTCATGATGCTGCTCATAGACACGATGATACCGACGAACGCTCCTTCTCCACCGACAGGGGCGATCTCAGCGGATAAAGCCACTTCCAGTATAACCAATCCACCACGCATAAATCCTCGCAATGCCGTCATAAAGGTGAACGTTTCTTGACTCCGCATACTGGTCGACCATGTGGCCAGGAAGTAAAATATGAGTTGAGGCAGCATCATAATGATGATCAAACTTGCTGTAACGCAATAGCGCCAATTGCAGTTAAGCGCACAGTATTTCCACGCTGCTGCGGCGATAACGTAGAGTGCCTCCGTCGTAATGTGACTCGAAGATTGAGCCTTATCCGTAAAATTACACCAAATTTCAAGTTGAGCGTGTGGATACGTAAGTGTAAATTCGGACAGGAACACGAAGATCATGAAGAATCGGATGATGCGGACTGTTGACTCCTTGGCTAAAGCTCTTCGTAGTCTCAGCCAGTTGACTCGGAGGCCTTGAAAACAACCCATAGACGCCATTTCTTCTTGAATAAAAATGTGGGATTCATCAGCTCCATAATTGTTTTCTCCATCGTCGATTTCTGGCGGATCGGGGTCTTCGTGGAAGAAGAAAACCAGAGTAAGCAGAGGCACCAGGGAATAAAACATAAAAAACAGCGCAGTTTGGCGGAACGACACGATCGGAGTGAGTCCGAGCTCGGTGATGTTGAAAATGGCCGTGTCCGAGATAATCTGTCCCAATAGTTCGCCCATAAATTGTGTCAGTAGTATCGTTCCCAGTGCTGCGCCACGCACTTCTAGTGGCTCTCGACGAGTTTGAGCGACGACATAGGTCTCGGATATTATCAACGTGAGCACGCCTCCAAAGCTGGCCAGCATCAGTAGTCCGATATATCCGTCGATGAGTGCCACGCGGTTCTGCAAAGCTTCTTCCGTTGCTACTCGACTTGATAGCGCGTTGTATTCCAGTGTGTAATTGAGAATCGCCATGGCGAAGCATGTCAGTAAAGACACTACCCATCCAGCTATAATGTACGACTTGCGTCGAGATCCCAATAAAGGTACAGCGTCTGAGAGAAAACCCCACACGAAAGTGTACGACCAGGGCAGAAGCATGAGTACATTTGCTGCGTCCACCTGGTACGTCTCCAACTCCAATTCCGCTTGAAGAAGAGGAAGCAGTCCTCTCTTCAGACAAGTGTTTAAAACCCCTGCAAACAAAGTAGACACGAGCAGTCCAATGTGTCGACACGTCACCAACTCCACGCTTCCTTTCTGGATAGCCCCGTCATCTGAGGGTACTGAACTGTTTGCGTTGATAGAGATTCCGTCGCCACCATTTCGCAATGCCTTGCCACTGACGAGGCCTCCGTCGTAGTCTACCACTGCACAGGTGCTGTCAAGTGCTTCTCTCCTAGTGCTGATAATGGGGATGTCGAAAATGTTGTTGTCTCTTCTTGTACTCACGGCGGGCGCTGTCGTTGCGTACGAGTCGTCCAGATTCCTGACCTCATAGTCGAACCGGTTGCGGTGAGGACGTGTCGGTTGTCGTTTCCGGTACGGGGTGGGTGCTTCTAGCGCTCTTTTACTGTTCGGAGCCCTTCGGTTGTTGCCTGTTCTACCTCGAGCAGGTTTGGGATAGGAATCGTGGTCACTGCTGTTACTGCCGCCACTTAAGAGATTCCGACGAACCATTTCGAGGTTTTTGCAGTTTGTGCTGCGTCGAACTTGTCCTGCAGCACGTAAATGACTGCAGACTACAGCAAGTCGGAATGTGCTGCAGTGGAAGTGACAGCAGAGACCAAGAGGTGTTGACAGATGGGGTTATGAGTCCGGACCAAGTGCTCGGTCCGTAATCCCACTTTGCCATAACAGAATTAGAAATGCCATATGTAAGAACTCTAATGTTTGTATGGAAATACCATTGATAAGGACTGAGAGGATATATAATACCACATTTACTTCTCTGTTAATGCTACTTCGGATTGTTTGTGGGAATGATTCCACTTTTTGTGACTCATTGTTTCTACGTTGTGGGCAACTGAAACGGGATTTGAGCTAGTGTCGACCAATGTGAAGACCGCATGGCTGCATCTGCTGGGTGAGCCGATTACACCAATCGAGGGGCGGAACCTGCCGAGAAAGCAGTTGATATGTCCTACAACGCCTTGATGAACTGCGTTGTGACTGCAACTTGGAGCTGTAGAGGTCACACCGAAGTCGCCGTGATGAAAGTGGTGCCAAGACGAAAAACCATGAGTTTGGTGGTAAAGCGAATGTAATTTGAACCCACGGGAGGTCGGATCAAGGTTTGTGTAAAGATTGTTGAGCATTTCTGGTTCGGTGTCGAAGTACAAATCTGGTGCGGCCTTGTTGAACGACATCAGGACATCGGACGTTGGATATTCGCGTTGGATGATTCCACAGCGTTTACTGCCCGATCCTTGGCCAAAGACGACAGAGCCGTCTTGATTCCGGCTCGAGTTTTTCGTCTTTCGTCGATCCGGACGTGCAGATTCGGTAAGCGTCAATTGTGATCTTAGACCACGTCGTGATCAGCGAGGTTGGTTATACGACAAGACGCATGCACTCTTGATAAGGATCCTGGTTTCATTTTATTAGAGGTGCCAGTGTTACAGCAAATTCACGTAGCTTGAGTGCAATTTCGTGATTTCTACCAGAACTTTCTAACATTTTAGACTTCTTCAA